TGGTTGTAATGTGACAAAATATGGAAAAGTTCAAGGGGTATGAATACTTTTGCAAACCACTGTATATTAGATCACGGATGTAAGATGGTAGCAGCCCAAGCAAAGCCTTATAAATAAAAGTGCACCAACCTCCTGGTGGACAAAGAAGGACATCCCACATGAGTGTACAGAACACAATGGTGAGTCGAGGATTTACAGTTAGTAACAAACCTCAGAGAAGCATGATAGACAGCATCATTTTTTTAAAGATATTGTGCTGAGGCAAGTGCTATAGCAAGTCTCCATAATCTAAAATGGATAAAAATGTTGCCACAAGCCACTTCTTAACCATAAAAAGAAAAATGAATTTTATTTCGAAAAAAGAAGTCCAGTTTAAGTTTAAGTTTCTTAACAAGATTTTGGAAGTGGGGCTTAAAACTGAGGAAGTCATCAATCAAGAACCCAAGATATTTGTATGTGTGAACCATCGCTATACTATTTCCTTCAAAAGTGGACACAGTGGGGATCGTCAGAGGCACCTTTTTGTTGTTTGCTAATGGCATCAGTTTAGTCTTTTCAGCAGTGAGTACCAACTTTAGCTGCAGGAGTGTGTGCTGGACAACATCAAACGCTCTCTGCAGAGATTCTACAGTGTTGCGGAAAGTGCCTCCACTGTATGTGATGCTTAGCTTAGTGAGTTGTGCGGGTGCAAGAGATGTTTGGCAGTCGTCCTCCGGTCTGAAGGGGGGCGCTGCATACTAAAAGAACCCCTGGGTCCTTGAGGAGCGAGAGAGAGACGGTGTGTGTGTGTGTGAGGCGGAGTGAGTGTGAAGATGACGACCGGAGCAGCGGCTGTAAGAAAAGTCTGTGCAGCTTTCACCTGTTAGCTGGAGTTATTAAAAGTTAACCTCAACCATCTCTGTGCCACCGCGTGATTCATGTTAAAGGCGTGTGAGGGAGTTAACCCCGAAGTAGAAACTTCGGCCCTGGAGAAACATCTCCCCTGTGTCTTCCGACCACGGTCAGCAGATTGAGCAGGAACGGTTAACACTGGCGACCACGAAGGGACCTCTTCGCCTTGCTGGACGAGTGGTGAGCTTTGAGTAAGAGAGATAATAGCGGCTAGCAATAAAGCCGAGAGACAGTATTAACCCGCTGCATTAGCCCGTCGATTAGCAACCGCAAGATGGATGCCGCCGCCCACCATCCCGGTGGAAACAATGGACTTGAAACAGATTATTCCAACCCGTTTATGACGCTGGATATGTCTTCCGAGGGTGCCGAGTGTGGAAAGGCTACCGAAGATGTGACAGTGGGGAAATGTGAACATTAYAACCCTTTTCTGTGTGATGAAAGCTGTTTTAGCTCGTACGCTAAAGGAGGGGACATGTTTGCACCGCACCGCAGCCCCGCGCAGCCACTGGTTAGCTCTACGAACCCATTCGTTGATACCGAATGTCAAGGTTATGCTCATGTGGGGAATGTAGCCGACGGTATTCATTACAACCCAGCCCCCACATTTCAAATGAAAGATAATTACACCAACTCCAACCCATTTGCTCCTGCTCATATACAAAGCTTTGTACACAGCACGCCGGCCCCATTTAACCTGGTGACATTTCCCGCCGTGCAATGTACCCCGAGACTGGATGAAACTATAAGTTACAAGCAAACCCCTGCACGGCCCCAGCCCCGATTAAAACCAAATAAAACCCGTTTCATGTTGCAGCAGCCCTTGTCCGACAGTGAGGAGGATGGAGAACCTAGAGAAAGGGTCCCCACTTTACGTCCGGGCCAATACGATGGTACCACACCATGGAAAGAATTTCTGCACAGGTTTGAGAGCTGCGCCGAAGCGAATTACTGGTCTGAAAAGACAATGACAGTGCAGCTGAAATTCTGCCTGGTTGGCGCAGCAGGGGCCATTGTCCACAGAAACCCTCGCTCTTCCAAGTGGGACTACCGCCGCCTGGTGGACGAACTGGAAACTGCATATGGTCCATCCTCTGATCACGCCGCTGCTGTTGCAGTAGAACTGAGGCAGCGAGTACGAAAATATGGAGAGGCCCTGCATGCATTCAGAGATGATATTTATGGGAAAGTGGCGGTGGCTTATGGTGACAGARCAGAAGTTGAACAGGACTCTATTGCTGTTGAAGTTTTCACAAATGGTCTGGGTGATGCAGAAATAGTCCAGAAACTATTAGAGCACCGACCAGCCACACTCGCCCGTGCATATGAAATAGCTCATGCTCATGAAACCACCAAAAGGGCTGCAGCTTATGTCACCAGTGCCATGTAGCCAGGAGCCCGCAGCATGGTTGAACGTCGGCCCAGAGCTGCTGTGGTCAGAGCCAATGACAAACATGAAAGTGTTATCAAAACTACACCTGYAACAAGCTCTTCACCAAATTGGTTTGCCACACACACACCATCAGCATTTAATAGCCGCAAAAATTCGACAAAAGGGAGAGTCCGCTGCCATAACTGTCAAGGTTGGGGTCATATTCAGAAGCAGTGCCCCTCTCGCCACAAAAACACCAAAGCTTTGACATCTAGCAGCTCCACCTGTGAGACCCAAGGGCCCACTGTGCTCCACCTGAAAGGCCAAATCCAAGAAATGAGTATCCACATGCGAATCTATGAAGTGGAGGTGTGTGCTGTGTTGGACAGGGGGGCACGGAGAAATGTGCTGCCGGTGCGCTACTATGATATTGAAGCGTTTTCCTCCCTCAATTTATGATTTCTGATGGACACAACTTGTTATGACTGTTTGGTGAAAGAAGACAGATATATTTTTCAGACTTCTGTTAAGGCCTGACCCTTTGCGCTTCAAATTAGCATACCGTCACCATGGCGCCTCAGAAGACCACTAAAAGAATTTACATTGTCACATTCCTGTTTCCAACCCCCATAAGGACAAGCTATTTACTTTTCTTTAAAGAAAAGGGGGCAGGGTCATAACATGCCTTTAACAAGAATCTCAGCATGACTTGAACAAAAGGAAGCCCCATGCTTGAGTGAATAAAGAGGAAAACTACCCTGTTCTTTTTTTTAACTGTGTTTGCCACTAAGAAAACTGTTCTAACTGTGTGTTTTTATGGATGAAATGTTTTTCTAAAAAAAGGGATGTTTCTTTAAATTGTGATTACATGAGTTAACTTTAGGGAACTTTAGGTTTGAATTTAACTAAATAGACATTCTTATGTTACTGATGTAAAACAGATGCCTCTCCCTTTAATTAGATGCAAGACAATTAGACTAAAACACTCCCATTCTGTCTGAAAAACCTTATTTTTCCCTCCAAACGTTTTGATTGGTTAAAAACTTTACCAAAGTTTCTCAATTGGTTAACTAAAAACCTTGACTCCGCCCATAACAGAGGTTTTAAAAGTTAGTACACAAGAATCCACAGAAGAAGAAGGAAGAAGACCGCAGACAGAGAAGCAGCTTCCAGGTTGAAAGACCCCCTCTTGCCAGGGGGGGTGTCATTCAACCCCTCCGCCATTTTGACTCGTAATAGCTCGATCATCACTTCGACTCAGCCCTTGAGTTTTGATTTTTAAAGGAGTCATAATAAGCTAATGGTAAATCAATCGTCGTTAGTCCGTTTTTCTACAAAGTGAGAATCAAATTGAGTCTTGAAGTCACTTGTGGACAGCCAGACCCAAGTCACCAGAGGAAGGACTCCTTTCTGACCACGGGACCAGTCGAGTCAACAGGCCGACCGCCTGGCGTCTAGTTCACATGAAGAGCCTGTCTGGAGAACAAGCTCCAGAGATGGTCTTCCACAGCTGACTTCAAACCTCCTGGTACCCACACGGCAGAACACAAAGGAAAAAGGTGAACACTTGTCTTGGTTAAACATAGGTGCTCAGGCGTAGATTTGATTTTTATCTTTGTAGGAGATTTGGTAAACTAAATGTTCTTATCGACCTTAATTTAGCTAGGAAGCCCTAGTTAAAACAACCAGAGCTAAACAGCTTATACAAACACACCTCCCTCATTCAGAGCCTCTAAACACTTCTCAGTGTTTAATTTTTGTTTACATGTTTGTTTGTTTTCGTTTGTCTGTCTGTTCATTCACTTGTGATAACAAACT